ATCTACTGACCCCTTTGGTTTCCCTTCCTCCTTTTACTCCCCACAAGTAACCTCTTCTTGGGGAATTTCTATAATAATTTTAATAATACAGAAATCTAATGCACTACTTCTTTCTTAACAACTTGTTGAAACCCAGAAGTAGTCTTCCTCAGCCAACATAGTCTTTATGTACTGTCAACTTTAAGAAGTCAAAACCTAACACCCAGCTTCCTTCCGTCTCCCTCTATCCAAGGTATAGCTATGCTCTTCAAAGGCAAGACTAATACTATCCTATGGGAGCTCATCTTTCTTACTCTATATCAGAAAACCTGGCTTGCCTGTCTTCCTTTCATCCATGTACACGATTATTACTTACCTCTAAACAACTAACACGATATTTTATAATCACCAACACTCTCCCATCTTTCCTCACCAAGTTCTATGACCATCCTCCCAATCCAATCCCATTCTTCATTAATCATTTCCCTTCTGCATTCACCTTTGTTTCCAGTTATCTGAAAAAAACACTCAGATCTATTTAACTACAATTCAATTCCTTTAGAGCAGCAAAATACCATTCTTCCAAGTTCTCTCCTTTGAATCTTTTATATCTGGATTCTGCTCACTTCAGTCTAATACCACCACCCCCACCAAAACCTCGCTTTTTACTAGTAAAAACAAAGTATTCAATGCCCCTGCTGATTTATCTGTCTGATGCTTTTCAAAATTCAGTCCTACACATGCACCCCCCAATTTATGAGCATGTTCCTTTTAAAATTGCCTAGTTGAGAGATTCATATTTCTCTTTGTCATATCAGTCATCAAGCCAGATGAAACATTTCAACTTCTTCTCATTCCTTATTCATTATTTTCAAATAAATATCTGGGTCCAACTTTACAATTTCAGTTCCCAAATAAGATTCTCTATACAAAATTAACAACAATAACTTGCACAAAATCTGCATATAGTATAGATATAATATAGTATAGATCTCAGATTCCATGGTTACCATTACTTGTTTTCCTATGAAGAAGCACCAATTCTGCACAGATATTTGCACCTGATTAAGTCAACCTGATTAATGCTGGGACTTTAGAGGCTGCTGCCCAGGGCCCCGGGCTAAAGGGGGCTCCACGGGGTGCTGCAGGGCTCAGACAGGCTGCTTGCATGCCATGGCCCCACGCCAGTCCCGGAAGTGGCTTGCTGCTGGTATGGCTCTGCAGTCCCTGGTGGGAAGGATGGGGGAGGCGGTTCCGCGCACTGCCCCCACCACCAGCACCATCCCTGCAGCTCCCACTGGTCAGGAACTGGTCAATGGGAGCTGCGGGGGCGGTTCTTGCGTGCACAGGCAGCACACAGAAACACACTGTCCCCCTCCCCCCAGGGGCACCCAGAGATGTGCCAGCAGCTGTCCACTTCCACGAGCGGCATGGGGCTATAGCACGCAGGCAGGCAGCCTACCTGAGCCCTGCTGTGCTGACGGCTGAAGCCTGCACCTCATACCCCCTCCTGCACCCCAACCTCCTGCCCCAGGTCAGAATCCCCTCCTGCACCCAAACTGTCTCTGTTAAAGAAACTAATATAACAGCTGTTCTAAGGTAAGAAGTAGGCTACTCTGAATTAATTTAACTATATTCTACGTTTTAAGACTGAAATGTAACTACAGAACGGCTTTATGTTAATTAAAAGGCAAGTTTACTAGTGTTATTAGCCTTGATGCCATAATTGTGATCGTTTTGTTATAAATTAGGAAAGAGACTCGTATACAGGGCCTCACAAAATCTAATAGCCCCAGGCCCACAGGAAAGTTAATCCAGTCCTGTATGCATGAGAGCTTGAAATTGAGCAAGTGCAAAAACCTATGCAAGATTGGGCCCAAGTCTGTACCCAGTTTTGGCAAAACTACTTATGATCCCAGTGCTTCTCTGTAGTCACATAAGAATAAGCAGCAAACACTGGAAAACGGATTGTGGAAACAAGAGCCTAGACCATGTAAAACGTGTATATACTGCTGTATGGATTCAGTTTGATAAGTAAATTTCCTCCATTTCTCTTGTAATTCCCTTTCAGTATCTTAAAAAGAGATTGCCAGATAACCCAAAAAATATTTTAGCTGTGAAATTGCTTCATCATGTAGTCATAGGCCACAAACGATCTAGTAGCAAAATAAACCAACTTCACATGTGCAAAACATCATTACTGTACCCCCAAGCATGCTATTTCCCAATTTATGCCCCCCCCCTTTTTAGGGGCAACAAAACCCCATGGACTGGTACTGACAAGACAACAAAAGATAAAGTAGAGGGTTGATAAAGGGAAGATTTAGCTTTGAGTAAAACTAACTGGGAGGCTGAATTGGGAAGAATTAAATCAGAGACAGAAGACTAAAGGGAAAAGAACTCATTTAGAAGGAGACAAGTCTGAGTTCCTGATCGGAGGAGGAGAAGGCAAGTGAGGGGGTGGACTTGGCAGAAGGGGGGTAGTAAAGGGCAGAGGATGGGGAGGAGGGCAGGGAGGATCAAAATGAAGAAGGAGAATGCGGGGCAAGACTGAGAGGGAGAAGAAGAGGAGGGCCCAGAGAAATAAGGGGCAGCGGAGAGAGGCAAGGAGTGGGGAAGAGCAAAGTGCAGGGCACGAGGGTGGCGAGAAGGAAGGGGGAGAGAAGAGTAAGGGGCAGAGAGATGGGGAGGAGCGAGAGAAGGGGGAAGTGGGGGGGGGAGAACGACGCGCGCGGAGGAATCAGGGCAGAGTGCGTGGAGAGGGGCGGCTACCTTGCGCCCAGCGGCAGAAGATGGTGTCAGCGAGCCCGCCGGGCCCGGCTTTCTTGCCCCACACCAGGTGGACGAGCTCCTGGCTCAGCTCAGACATGACGCGGCGGCGGCTCTCGGGCCGGGCGGAGACGGCGGCTCCTGGCGCTGGAACGAGACGGGGCTGCTACCAACCCGCTTTCCCTGAACATGGGAAGGGGCCGGATCAGAAGGGGCGGCCGCGGGGAGGGTTCAGCAACAGCCGCTCACGGAGAAGGGAGGAGGAACCGCCACAGCCGGCTCTGTTAGATTTCACTCAGCGGAGTCGCCTCCACAAGAAACTTCCGGTTCCTCTCCCGGGTGAACCGGAAGGGGAAGCGCAGCTCAGCACCAATCCCAGTGCCCGCCTCTCAGGCTGCTGTGACGCCACTTTAACGACACAAACAGCTCCCGCTCCCCATTCCCGACTTTGGGTGCATTGAGCATGTTCACCCGAACTGAGCATGCCCAGTAACCTTCGCTGTTGCCATTGCCCTCTCTCTGCAGTCCTTCCGCGGGTTTTGTCTCGCGCTGGGCGGTGGACCCAGCTCGTGCCCTGGATGCAGCAAGGCTCGAAAGCGCGAGGCTGGGAGCAGCCGTTGGAAGTGTTGTGTTCTCCCAGGCGGCGCCTCGTTCCTCGCGGGCTGGGCGAGGCTGCTGGTGCGGAGTCTAGTCACAGGCGCCGGCGAAGCCGAAGATACATCTGAGACCGCGCCTGTGGGCCCTGGCGGCTCGGGCTGTGGGCCCAGGAAGGGGTTGTGATGCAGCGGATCTAGGTCCGAGACACAGCCCCCATGGGGGCCGAGCCCCTCTCCTGGCCAGGCTGAGGCAGCCCAGGCATAACCCCTTGTGGGACCACTTGCACAACGGGGCATCACCCTGCCTCTACCCCTTCCTTGGATAATATTCACCGCAGATTCCACTGCCATTCCTGTGCAGGTGCTTCACAGATCTACCAGTGTGCCAGACCTGCCTCCTGCCCAAACTCAAATCTCAGCCTCTCCCTTTGACAGTGCCTTGTGGATGTCTAGCTACCAGCTCAAGATCAATGTGGCTGGAACAGCGTTCTTAATCTACCCCACCACCACCCAAAAAAACAACAACAAAAAAGCTACCTCCTCCTTTGATCACTGTCGAGGCCATCACCATCCTGCTGGGCACTCAAGTCCACTGCCTGGGCATCATCTTTGACTTGACCCTCTCTCTATGTCCTCATATCCAGGCTATGTCTAAATCTTGCAGATGCTCTCTGCATAACATCTCTTAAGACTGAAAGACTGTATCTTAAGATGCATCTGAAGAAGTGGGTTTTTTACCCAGGAAAGCTTATGCCCAAATAAATCTGATAGTCTTTAAGGTGCCACCGGACTTCTCGTTGTTTTTGTGGATACAGACTAACACGGCTATACTTGACAAACTTTCCTGTGCATCCACACTGCTAAAACTTGGCCAGGCTCTCATCACCTCTTGCCATGGTTATTGCAACATCTTTCTCTTTGGCGTTGACAAAAACAATCTTGCACTTCCCCCTACCCCCCCCCCATCCATTCTGAATGCCGTTGCAAAGATCATTGTCCTAGCTTGTCACTTTGGCCACGTCACCCCACTCTTTGCATCCTTCCATGGGCTCCCTCTTCTGTATAATGTCAAACAAGCTTCATGTTCAAGGCCCTTCACAGCCCTGACATCTTTCATTTAGTGTCAAAAGGTCAATTCCTGCCATCTCCATTGCTCACTTATCATATTGCCCCTCACACTTGGAAGGAGTTCCCCATAAGTGTCCATAAAACTAATTCATTATCCTCCTTTAAACCCCTTCTTAAAAATTATACTTTGCTGTGATGCTTCTGAAAAACTTGATAACGATATGGCTCCTGCTATACTGAGACCACAGCCTTGCTGACCAATATTGTCCTATTTCCTTGTACTACCCTATCAGTCTGTCTGTCCATCCGTTGTCTCATACTTAGATTGTTATCTGTTTGAGGCAGGTGCTGTCTTTTCTGAGTTTGTATAGGGTCCTAGTCCATGGGCAGACTGGGACCTTGTTCCTCCCTGTACCCAGGCTCCCTGCCCAGGCCTTAGGAGGAAGGACTTACTCCCCAGCCATTGGAGCAGAGGTCTCCTGCCAGCCCAGAATAGCCATGATTGGGTGACAGGGTGCCTTGAAAAGGGCTGAGTTAACCACCCCAGAGACAAGCAGGAGCAGCTACCACATCACAGAGCTATTGCTGCAGGTCGTATTGCTGTGGGGACTTGTGGCCTACTATTCTATGTACTCTGGCTGTCTGGGGCCAAAGGAGGGAAGAGATGGTATTCTGCCCATGCTTGTCCCATAGCTCACCCTCCCAAAAGTGGGACATTTCTACTAAAATAATCAGCAGTGCTATCATACAGCAGTTCAAATTGTGATAATTGGACTTCAGTGTTAACTGTGGTCTGATAAAAGTGAAAAGCAGACATGGCCTAGACTTGGAGACCTGTTTTGGAGGGATTATGGGAAAGAGCATGGGAAGAGTTTGGCAGCTATGGATGGAGAAAGATAAAAGGCTGCCCATTGCTTTCTTTTAGGGTTTGTGTACATTCGAAAGTTATTCCAGAATAAGATAGGGTGTGAATTTAAAGCAGAATATCTATTCTGGAATACTTCCCTGTGTGAACACTATTATTCCACAATAAGAGTGCCTTTTTCTGGTTTATCTTAAGGCACTTTCAAAGTGGAGTAAACTAATTCCAGATTAAGAGTGTCCATATCTGGATTTATTCTGGAATAGTTATCCAAAGAGTGAAGGCAACTCTCTTTCCCAATGTGTGGATGAGATTGGAGCAAGACTGCAAGAAACTGGTTGAGGCTCAATTCACCCAAAACTGACATAATGATACTTGGTTGTAAGAAGCAACCAGTGATAAGGTACAGATTATTGTATACCAATCACTGTTCGAAGGAATGTGCCCACCATTTGTTATTTGTGTAACTTGCTGATAGAGCCCAAGCTGCTTTTACAGGATCAAATAAAAGCTGTGGGTAGGAATGTTTTTTTTAAATTTACATCTAGTCACAAGGTTGTAGTCTGTTCTGTAAAGATATCACTCAGCTTCAAAGGCCAGAAGGGACCATTGTGGTCATCTAATCTGACCTTCTGTATAACACAGGCATTAGAACTTCTGCAGAATAATTACTAGAACATAACTTTTAGAAAAATATCCAATCTTAATTTTAAAATTGCCAGTGGTGGAGAACCCAATACGACCCTTGATAAATTGCTCCAATGGTTAATTAAATTGTTGTAAAAATTATGTTTTATTTGAAGTCTGAATTTGTCTAGCTTTCTCTTCCAGCCATAGAATTGTATTATAGCTTTCGCTGCTAAACTGAAGAATGCATTATCAAATATTTGTTCCACGTGTATTTATAAACTGTGATCTAGTCACTACCTAGCCTTCTCCTGAGTGACAGATAAACAGATGAGACAGACAAATAAATTGAGCTCCTTGAGTCTATCACTATAAGACATGCTTTCTAATCCTTTAATCATTCGCGTGGCTCTTCTTGGAACCCTCTCCAGTTTATTAACATCCTTCTTGAATTGTGGACACCAGAACCAGTCATGGTATTTCAACAGTGGTTACACCAGTGCCAAACACAGGCGTAATATAGCCTCTGTGATCCTATTCAAGATTTCCCTGTTTATACATTCAAAAATTATATTAACCCTTTTGGCCACAATATTGTAACAGGAGCTTGTGTTCATCTGATTATCCACTATGACTCCCAACTCTTCTTCAAGAGTCATTGCTTCCTAGGATAGAGTCCTACATCCTGTAACTATGGCCTACGTTCTTTGTTGCTAAATGTATAAATTTATGGTTGGCCTTATTAAAATGTATATTGTTTGCATGCAGCATAAGTGGTTCAGATCGCTCTGTATCACAGACATGTGGTCTTCGTTATTTACCACTCACCCAATCTTTGAGTCATTTAGCAACTTTATCCGGGATGGTATTATGTTTTGTTCCCTATTATTGATAAAAATGTTAAATAGCATAGGACCATGACCTGATGTGTGCAGGCCCCCACTAGAAACAAACAAACTTGCTTTATGGTGCTGATACCCCATTTACAATTACATTTTGAGACCAGTTAGCCAGTTTTTAATCCATTTAATGTGTGCCATATTAATCTTGTACCGTTCTAGTTTTTTAATCTAAATGTTATGTGGTACCAAGTCAAATGCCTTACAGAAGTCCAAGTAAATTACATCAACACTATTACTTTTATCAACTAAACTTGGAATCTTACCAAGAAAAGAGAGGTTACTTTCACAGGATCTGTTTTCCATAAACCCATGCAAATTGACATTAATTATATTACTCTCCTTGAATTCTTTATTAATCAAATCCCATATCAACCACTCCATTATTTTGTCTGGTATCAATGACAGACTAGTAGGTCTATAATTATCTGGGTCATTCCCGTTTACACTTTTAAAGTAAATTTAAACATTAGCTTTCTTCTGGTAATCTGGAACTTCCCCAGTGCTTCAAGACTTACTGAAAATCAACATTTATGGTCCAGCCATCTCTTTTAAATGCAAGTTTTCTGGACCTGCTGATTTAAAAATACCTAACTTTAGTAGACGAAGTGGATATTCACCCACGAAAGCTTATGCTCCAATACGTCTGTTAGTCTATAAGGTGCCACAGGACTCTGTTGCTTTTTACAGATCCAGACTAACATGGCTACCCCTCTGATACTTAACTTTAGTAGCTACTGCTTAACATCGTCCAGAGATACTAGTGGAATGGAAAGGGTGTCATCATTATATAATAGCACTACATCATCTGTTTTTTCTCCCGACTACAGAACAGAAATATTTATTAAATACTTCTGCCTTTTCTGCATTATTATAGATCATTCTTCCGTTTCCATCTAGTAGAATACCAATACCATTGTTAGGATTCTTTTTGTTCCTAATAAACTTTTAAAACACCTTCTTATTATCTTTACCTCTTTTGGCCTTATTTCTTTGTGACCCTTGTTTCCCTTATCAATTTTCTACAGTTCATAACTTTTGATTTATATTCATGACTATCAACTCCCCTTTCTTCCATTTGTTATACATTATTTTTTTATAGCTGCCTTCACTTCTCCTCTAAACCAGGTTAGTTTTTTAACCAGTATGGCTTGCTTTCTTTTTGGGGGGATTGTGGCATTTTGGGCATCTAGTAAATGTTCTTAAATAATTCCCAATGATCATACATATTTTTCTGATTAAATTCAGCCCGGCTGAATTGGCTCATAATTGTGTTCAGCTTTGTGGAAATGGCCTTTTATGTTAC